AGAAGCTTGACACATAAGCTTTAGAGAATGACTTTTACATGAAAGGAGAATCATGTCAGATCAAACTGAACTTAGACTATGGACGATTAGACTATACTTCGTTTAACAACAGATGCACATCCTTTGAGGAAAAATAAAGACAAAGAATTGCTGCTAACTTAATTACCCAAGTTCGATAATACGTCATGATCAAACAAAAAGAATAACACCAAAAGAATGCAGATGGAACTAGCGAACCTATTTTGTCACCTGAGAACTTCCATGCTGAAGTTGCATCTGCAGTTCGTGGATTAGCTTATAAGCAGCAGAGAGTTGCTTCTTCTGATTACAGATAATGGCTTTCAGATCATCAACTATAATTTTTACATTGAGCAGATTTGTAATTGACACAAAGGATCATACCTGTTTTCGTTTCCAAATGCAGAAATTCTTGAACCAACTGAGATGCAGTGGGTCTCTTTGAGGATTCACTTTGTGTCATGCCATAAATTCTGGTGGCCTAAAGACAATTCCAGAAACGAGAAATGCAGAATGTAAAACTGCATATGTTGGCTGTGATTTTGTAATATCCGCGATAAGTTTATCTCGAGCTAACACGTGCGTAGCAGTTCATGCATCAGCACTTATGCTTACTGAAAGAAACACTAAGGGTAGGTGATACTCACCATTGATGGCCAGTTTTTGGCTAAACCTGGAAAATTCTCGGAAAAATCCTTTTCCGTTCTCCTATTACGAACTATGTCAAATGCCTCAACCTTTTCCATTCCCGTATAAAAGACGTTGTAGGCCTCAAATAATATCATGCCAGCTCCAAAAATATCTACCTGGAATCATGCGGTTGGAAATAACAAAAATGTGGCTTTGAATTCACTATTCTCACAGCAGGGCCATATGTATTACTGTTCAGCTGTTCTGGAGCAGCATACGTTTTCGTTCCTGCCCCGGATGTGTGTTTCACAACAAAGGAGACAGCATCCGAATTTCTGAGATAAAAGTGAAACAAACAAAGTTGCCTCAAATTTTGAATTACACAAACTACAGATACAAAAACCGATCTCAATATAACTCACTCCTCCACCTTCTCATTTACAACTTTGTGGTGTTCGCAAGCTAGCCCGAAATCACCAAGGAGGAATCGTGGCTTGTCTCCATGACGTTTCAGAAATATATTGCTGGGCTGGAGTGTATAGGTCGACAATTTTTCTTGTATACGTAGAACAAAAATGCTTACATAAACAATCTACATTTTTCACCTTAATATCTCTATGAATGACGCCTCTTTGATGGATGAATTCTAAAGCAGACAGCATTTGAATTGCTAATTCACGATTGAAAGCACCATCGATGGCAAATTCTCGATCACTCAAAGCTGAAACGTGAGAAGTATCGCTATAGGGAAGATTGGATAATTGAAGGATCTTATAAATTCATGTACTCACGCATCTCTTTAATTTTCCTGTTTCTCTGTCTGAGATGTTTCTCGAGGTTGGAGGTGCACAGTTCCATCTGGATGTATATGTCAGTGTGCCAAAATCTCTGAATAACGAATTTTGTGCTAAAAAGTAGACATCAATACAGTTCAAAAAGATACGACAATGGAACTACAGACTAACTGAACTAAC